CTAGAAGGAGAGGATACATTACAAAAGGATTGGTTTTATAAAAATATATACAAAAGAAAATTATACTCCTACTACTATTCCATTGATGTTTGCTCCCTTGTTTCTTGCAGGCTCCATTGGAGTGATCTGCTGCTGCTTGAAGATACATCAAGTGGTTTATCTTGCTCCTTTTCTTTTTGTTTATTTCATGTATTAGATTGAATCAATGGCTCATAGGTTTTATTTTAAATGATGTATTTTTAAAGAGCTGATGGTTCTTTAAGGATATATAATCCCCTTTTTTAATTAACACGTAAGCCCTTATGTGAGTTAAAAAAAAAATGCTTGATAAATATACATGCAGAAGATGATACATGTAAAAAGTAAAACATACCTGAAAATATATTTCATCATCAGAGAATTGATGCAAGAATTGATTGTTGCACTGCCCACAACTCACAATGATTGTCTCGGTCATTCTACCGTACGGAACTAAAACCTGCAAAAGCCAAACACAATAATGAATATCTTAAAAACTAAGGCAGTCTAATTATGATTCCTCTTTCTATCTCTTATAGTAGCTTGATATATATTGTGGATATATTTAAAGGTTTTGTTGATAATTACTTGAAGATAACATTTATATTGGAAACATTCCAAATTAAATTTAGAATAATCTAAAATTTAATTTCAATAAACTTATAGTCAAATTAAATATCTTGACAAGACAAGCCCAAAGATACCAAAAGTTTTGAATTTTGGCTCAATTTATCAAAATTTCATCTAAAAAAATCTATAAATAGAGCATCATTCTCTACATAAGAGAGGTCCAAGAGTTGAGAGAAGAAGAGAGATCCTTTGCATTTTTCTAGCTCTTGCTGCTATTGATGATTTCCATCAGTTCTCTCTACCAACAACAACCATCAACTCTTGCTAATGACCACCATATGCAATCATCGCTACCATCTCCAACTCTTATTAAGATTTAATACTAGTATTGGGAATTAACTATCTGTCTGTGGACACCTACACCCTAAATAGTCCTTTTTTCTTCAACGGTGATGAAGAAAGAATTGTTGTTTCTCATATTATATAGTGAATTTTCAATTAGGCTAGGTCCTATGATTTTTTTCCTTTTTTAGATTCTCCACATAATTTTTTTTATCTTACAACTTTTATCCATGCGTGTTTATATTTTGACCAAAACTAAAACATAAAATACCAATTATGCCAATGCAAATTTTCTAGCACATAATTATTTGACGCAATATGTCTGAAATGGTCCATCATACTATAATTATTTTATCAATGACTAACAATTAATCCCCTAATCAAGGACAATACACTTACTTTACATAGGGTGAAATTATATGTTAGAAAATTTTACTTGATTCACGGTCTAGAGCTGGTCCACGTTGACATTTAGGGAGCGGTAACTCCTCGTAATATTTTTTGAAAATTTTTATTATTAATCATGCTTTCTTTTAATTTGAAATATATTTTCGAATGTAACATGCAAAAACGTTCAAATATAGGAGTTTAAATGATATGCCTTTGAAAAAATTACATTATCGACAATAATCTCGAGGAAAAAAATTAAATTGAAAATATCTGAAATTATATTCAGGGTAATATGAACTTCGATTTCAAAAGACTTGAATTCCAAATGAATGTCTTGACAAAATGTACCCAACAATACCAAAAAATTATTCAATTTGAGCCTAAATGAGATCAAATAAAAAATTTGAAGAATAATTGTAAAATTCTCACATTAATTGGATGACTAGATGATCTCTAAATTTGGTATGCTTATAGCTAAATCAACGGCTCAACTAGATGAATCTAACGAGCTCAAAATCACTTAATTTTGATGTCATTAAGGAACTTTACTTTAATGCTGAGCAAATGTTTCATAATCAAGGGAATCAATAGAGATCGTCGAATGAAGTGTTTTGGTTTCAGACTCAATTTACCAAAATTCTCATCTTAAAAAGACCATAAATAGAGCCTCATTCTCTATAGAATAGAGGACCAAGTGTTGATAAAAAATCGAGCTTCCTTACATTTTCTAGCTCTCGCCAATGCCGATGACCACCACCAATTCTCACTATCGAGGATGCCCATCAACTCTCACTAAAGTCAACCGCCAGCAATCAACACCTTCATTTCTAGACTCATATCAAGATCTAACTTTGTTGTTGTCTATTAACAGTTCGCCTAAGAACACCTACTTTTTTATAAATAATCTCTATAGGAGAATTCATACATTTGTTCTAAAATATTCCTTTTTAATTCATTTGTGGAAGAGAATAGTCTAAGAGAACCATCATAATTTGATGGAGCTCATGCACCACAATATTAATAGCAATTGGTGATAATGCCAATCAAAGAGCATCTCCTTCCCTATAACCTCATCAAAATCTATCAGATATTGCTAGTTCAACAAATTATTCATATGTAATTCGGCCAACAAAAAAAAAGATAAAAAAAAATGTCACTTAATAGAAGTGTTACAGGCACCTCTTAATACCACACCAAACAATCGAGTTTGGATCCAATTTCAGGCCTTCTGCGATCATTTTTCAATGTTTTGAACTTAATTTTGGCACTTAAAATGCCCAACAAAATCTCTTTGATCAAATTCGAAGCTAATTTTAAGAGTTTGTAGAAAAAAATTCAATAGTTTTTGTTCCAATTAATGAGTCAAATTTATGAAAAGGCGAAATTATATTTAAGAATATTTTGCTTAGTTCAAGGATTTGAGGAGAGGTTCATGTTGATGTCTAGGGAGTAGCCTCACATCATAATAGTTTTGAAATTAAAATTTTTGAGTCATGATTTTTTTTTTTTGAAAATTTGAAATATATTTTCGGATGCAAGAAGTTTCAACGTCTGAAAAAAGTGGGACAAATGATATGTCTAAAAAAATTACGTGATCAACATGAATCTCAAGAAAAAAATTAAATTGAAAACTTCTTTAATTAAATTTAGGTTACTCTAAATTTTTATTTCACAAACTTAAATTCCAACTAAACGACTCCACAAAATGAATTAAATGATGCCAAATGTTGTTCAATCCAAGCCTAAGTGAGATCAAATCAAGCACTTGAGAAATAATTTAAAGTTTTATGCATTAATTGGATAACTAGATCCAAATTTGGTATGTTTATAGCCAAATCAAGTGGCTCAACTAGTTGAATCTAACGGGCCCAAGGTCATTTCATTCCGACGTCATTATGACACTTTAATGTAGAGAAAATGCTTCATGATCAGGAGAATCAATGGGAACCATCCAATGGAGTGCTTTGGATTCGGACTCAATTTACCAAAATTCACGTCTCAAAATGCCCATAAATATATAGTCTCATTTTTTACGAAAGTGAGGTTTAAGAGTTGGGAGAGAAGTGAGTACCTTTGCATTTTTTAGCTCTTGTCGCTCTCGATGTCCACACCAATTCTCTCCACGCACCAATGATGATCGTCAACTCCCGTCAACCATCACAAGCAATCATCACCATCATCTCTAGACTCTTATCAAAATCTAACCCTATTGTTGGGTATTAACTATTTGATTGTTGACACCTAATTTAAATAATCTCTCAAGGGGAATTTAAACCTTTCGAAAATATTATGCTTTTGTACAACTGTGAGACAGAGATGATTCTTGTATATCTTATTATATGTTGGATTTCAATTGTTGTAGGCCCCGTATTTTTTTTCCTTTCAAGTTTTTCGATGTTAAAAATTTTTAGTCTTACCACTTTTATCTATGCATATTGAATTTTCATCCAAATTAAGTAAATAAATAAATATCAACTCTATCAACACAAATTTTCTAGCACGAATAGTTATTTAGTAGTTAAATGTAGGTAATTAGTTAGATTAATTAGCTTGTGGTGGTCATGTAATTAAGGGCATATTTATGACGAGCTTGATAAAAATCAAATTAAGCATAAGGAGTTTGATTAAAAAATATTTGATGTTCATGCTCTACATAAATTTATTTGGCGACCTAAATTTGCCTTGAGATATTCATGCTCTACCTGGTTAGCTCTAGTTGGGGGGATAAAAACTGCTGTGGTTTTACATAAACGGAATATCTTGGTTCCACTATCTTGCAGCCTCTGTTTTTCTCATTTGGAAAGTGTTGCTCATTTATTCTTTGGCTGCCCGTACTCCTTCAATATTATTAGAGCTTTAATTCCTGGATCTAATTGCTTTTTAATGGAACCATCTCTTTTGCAACTTTTGGAATGGATTGATGGTAATGTCTTGGTATCTGTTGAAGAGAAAATTTTCTTCTCTTTAATTGTCTGCTGCTGTGTTTACTTCATCTGGAAAGAGAGAAATCAAAGAAGATTTAATAATGCCTTTAATAGTAGTAAGTCCACTGTTATCTGTATTAGAAAGCTGTCCATGCTAAGGTTTCAAATTGGAAGAATTCCTCACATCTGCTGGGAAAGTTATATTCTTGGAATGTCTCTATATAATCCTGCTTCTTGGGCTTATTTCTCTCGAGTTTGGCTGGTATGGAGACGCTATTTTGATGCTATGTTGGTTCGGGAATAGCCTGAGACAATGATGATGCTCCAATTCATCCCCTTGGATGGCTCTCGAGCAACCAGGGGATTGTTCTCGCTGATACTCTATTTAATTTCTCTCAGTCCAGGCTATGGTGGCTTTGGAGCTTTGGTCCCTTTGCAATTTTTTGGTTCTATTCTGTTTTTTTTTTATTCTCTATGTAGGCTGCTCGTTATAAAGCCTTTTTACTTGTCAAAAAAATTTTGGGTTATAAGGTGGGTTTTTCCATTTTATACATTTTGAGGTTCCTTTTGAGCCTTTTCTTACATGTAACTTCTACCCTTTTTTAATATAAGGGCTATGCCCAAATTTTCCCACAAAAAAAAAAAAAAAATTGATAAAAGAGGCTAATAAAGGGTTTCTCCGCTTCTGACTGCTGCTTCGGTTGGGTAACCTTTCTTTCCTCAATCTCTCGGGATTTCCTTACCATTTTCCTTCCTATGGTTGTGAATAGGTTAAAGAATCCCGAGTTTTTAGATGGGAAGGTTAAATCTAGATCTTTTAGAGATGTTTTATCTGGTGAGTCGGCTTCGCTGGACTTTGCCCTCCTCAAAGTGTCCTCCCACCATGGTTTGCCAGCTTTGTTAATCTCTGTTGAGGAAATGCTTTCTTCTGCGATGCCCGTTGAATTTGCTTTAGTTGGGGAGTTTTTGGGGCATCGCTCGCCTCTTGATACGATTCACAAAGTTTTCTTTAATCTAAAGCTTGTTGGTGAATTCTCGATTACTTTGTTGAACCCTAAAAATGTGTTTATTAAGCTTATCAATGACTTAGATTACTGTAGGGTTTTCTCTTATCGCTCCTACTTCGTTAAGCTTTTTGAATGGACTCCGCATTTTTACATAAATATGGAGTCTCCCATAGTCCCCATTTGGGTCTCTTTCCCATGTTTGTGCCTACATCTTTTCTCCCCCAGCATTCTTCATGGCTTGGGGTTGCTGTTTGGTAGGCCCTTAAGATTGGGTAATTCGACTACTAATGATTCTAGGCCTTCTATAGATTGCATATTAGTGGAATTAGATGTTACTAAACGATATACTTCTCAAGTCTGGCTTGGTTTGGAGCCTATGGGTTACGTTCAATAGATTGAAATGGAAGAGTTTCCTTCGTATAGCTTTCACATTGCAAAACTTGGGTCATTAAAAGGATTGTTTCCCGATCCTTTCTCCAAATCTGGGTGCTGATCCTCCTATCAAGGAGGGGATCGTGACAGATGTTCATTCTTCACATGATCTAGAGGGTCTTAATATTACCCCTGCTACTATTTCTAGTGGGGTGTCTCAAGGTTATATAACAAAAAAAAAAAAAAAAAAAAAAATCAAGATCTTAAATGTGCTCAAGAGAATAATGGTGTTGTTTCTCCTTTGTTTAATAATGTTGTGCATGAGATCATGCCTGCTTCATCTTAGGATCAATGGGGTTTTTTGATAGTTATGGTGGTTTTATTTCGCCTCTTATTAATGCCCAGGAGAAGGGGGAAGTGCCATTGTTTAGCTCTTATGATGTGGGTGGTTGTGCATTGGCTTTGTCGAATGTGGAGATGGAGGGGGATGGTGTGGTGGAAAGAGAAACAGAAAATCGTTATTCTTTTTCTGATGTTGTGTTTTCGCCTTTTCTTTTAGAGGGGCCGGTTTCTCCCTCTCTTGTTGGGGTTGCTGCTGATATGGTTTCGCTTATGACTGAAGGGCCAGTGGAACCTGGGTCCCTTGTCGAAGTGCCTATAATGGTTATGTCCTCTGAATATTTGGTTGTTCAATTTGTTTCTAATTTAGGTGTTACTTGTTACGAGCTTTTGGGTTGGGATGTTTTATCTCCTTCATCGTCTTGTGTGGGTGGTGATGATATTGGTAATAGAAAGTTGAGTCTCTTCAAGATTTATATGGGTTAAAGGTTTGCCATGTTATTGATAAAGCTTTCTCACATGTTAGTAAATGTGAAGGAGAAAAATCTAGGAAGTAATTATTTTTTACTGCTTTGGTGTGTGGCTTATTTTTTTCTTAGCAAGTAATTTTTGTTGATGTCTATTTCAATTGTGAGCTGGGGGTTGTCTTGAGAGTGGCTGTTTGGTTTGCCTTTGGGCTCGGACTTATTTTTTGAGTTATGTTGTCGGTTCTGCTCGGCCTTGGTGTTATTTGTGGCGGAGGAATTTCTCTCCTATCCTCGTACTCCTTCTATTCATGTTATGTGTAGGTTGTTTCTGTCTTTTATGGACTTCAATCCGAGCAGCTTGGAAGGTCTTCATGGACGATTGCTGGGGTGTTGTTGCTTTTGGTGCTGTTGAAGTTTGCTAATCCTTCCCTGTTGTTATCTTTTATTTTGCTATGCTTTTCATCTTTTGTATTTAGTTGGATCTAAAGCTTGCAGGTTTTAATTCAAATGATATTCTTTTAATAATGAGCTTATGATCTTTTAAGGACCTCAAATTTTAATTCATATTCATATATATATATATTATGTTTAAATTGTTTTGTATAATTTTAGTTCGAAGCTTGAAAAAAAATCCAAAAATTTCATTATCTTTATTTAATTTAGCTTAAATGTTTTCTTTCATGAATTAATTATATCAAGTTATCAACAATTACCTTTTTATTATTTAAAATTAAAAGCCATCCGTTATTGTTCTGAAATATAGTCTAGGATTAGTATATTAATACAGTTGACAGTTACATTAATAAATTGTTCGTTAACGATTAGGTGTTAACCAAATTAAGATTTAGTTTGGGTCAGCTTTCATAAAATGACTTTCTTGTACAATGCATTCTTGAACTAGAAATTTTTGTATTAAGAAGCTGCTTTAGAAAATAATAAAAAAAGTCATCTCAAATAAAACCTAAATAATTAAGGAATCTAGAGATCAGGTATGGAGCAAGTTTGATATCAGCGCTAACAAAACAACCTTGAGCGAGTGAGTGCGGAAGAGCCCGAGTGGGCATGACAATGTGAATGCGTGAAATGGTTTCACATAATTGGATTGGCTTCGGAAAATTTCCGTATTCGCTTGACTTCTGAAAATAGTTTTAAGTTTTTGTAACCTTCGGAAAATAATTTTACATTTTCTAAAATATGTAATTATAGTATTCACCATAGATTTTTTTTAACTTATTTATTATTGTTCCATCCTGGAATATTCGCGGCGGTAGAGAAATATGAAGTTTAACGTCTTAGCATTGTACGAAGAATCATCACACAATCAGATAAAAGAGATAGTGTAGTGTTCATAAGAGACACTAGAGTTTTTATGTGGAAACCCCTGAAAATGGAGAAAAACCATGGGGCCTGGCCTAGTTTGAATGAATCCACTAATATTTGCAGTCGATTACAAATAAGGCCCTTCCTTGGGAGAAGGCCTTGGCTTGATGGTACAATTGTACATCATATAGAGCACATTACATGGTGAGATTTACAATATAGACATGTCTGTTTGGTCGGCACGACCATAGTCGATAAGATAGAGGTCGGAAAGACCGTTATCTAGTGATGTAGGTTGGAAGGACCGTAGTAGGTGACGGAGGTCGGAATGATCGTAGTTGGCAGGAGATAGGGATCCGAAAGATCATAGTTGGCAGGAGACCGGGGTCAGAAAGACCGTTGTCTGGTGATGGAGGTCAGAAGGACCGTAGTAGGTGATGGAGGTCGGAAGGACCGTAGTCGGCAGGAGACAGGGGTCCGAAAGACCATAGTTGGCAGGAGACCAGGGTAAAAAAAACTGTAGTAGAAAGGCGGTACTTTGGGAGAACTCCATGCGTCAAGTGGTTGCCCAGCATAAGTCTGAGTCTCAAATTGTCGTCCGGTAGAATTACGGGCCTCAGGTGGCGATCTGGTTTAAGTTCGAGACTTAGATGGTGGTCTGGCTGAACTCGGGCCTCAAGTGTTGGTCCGACGAAAGTCCAGGCCTCAGGTGGTAGTCAGGTGGAGCAAATGGCCTAAAGTGGTGGTCCGACGGAAGTTCGGGCCTCAAGTAGTGGTACAATAGAATTATGGTCCTTTGTGGTCTGGTAGAAGTCTGGACCTCAGGTAGTGGTCCGGCAAAAGGCCGGGTCTCAGGTTGTAGTCTGGTAGAAGTCAAGGCCTCAAGTGGTGGTCTGGTGGAGCAACGACGTCAAACAACGATCCGACGGAGGTGAGGACTTCAAGTGGTGGTCCGACGGAGCAACGACTTCAGGCGGTGGTCTGGTGGAGGTGAGTTCCTCAAGTGTTGGCTCGGCGGAGCAACGACTTCAGGCGGTGGTCTGGTGGAGGTGAGTGCCTCAAGTGTTGGCTCGGCGGAGCAACGATATCAGGCGGTGATCCGATGGATGTGAGGGCCTCAAGTGGTGGTCCAGCAGAGCAACGATGTCAGGCGGTGGTCCGGTGGAGGTGAGGCCTCAAGCGGTGGTCTGACGGAGCAACGACGTCGTTAGGCGGTGGTCCGGAGGAGGTGAGGGCCTCAAGTGCTAGTCCATCGGACCAACGACATCAGGCGGTGATCCGGCGGAAGTCCGATGGTGGTCGAGGAGGAGCTTCTTCCTTCTCTTTTTCTCTTCTTGCTTGGAGCCTCTCCTTTCAAGAGAAAGGAGGGGTCTATTTATAGATTTTTGGAGTGGCATGGCCCGTAAATAGGTGAGAGATCAAGGGTAAAGGTGAGTGGTTGGATGGACGGCCGACATTGAATCCCTTGATCACGTACCGTTCGTTAGACATTTGAAGGCCTTAATGATATCGAATTCGACGATCTTGGGCTCGTTGAATTTGTCTCGCCGAGCCGCACGACTCGATTATAAGAATGTCATGTTTGGAAACCGCTTGGTAACCCAAATTGTTGTTTGAACGTTCCAACAATGCTTTGGGTCCTTGATTTGGACTCATTTGGGCTCGGATTGAGTCAAATTTTGTGTCGTTGGGTTCTTATTTTCGAGAAGTTCAATTTGACTTTAAGTTTGCTGAAATCGGAGTTCAGATGGTCCCAAATTTAATTTTGGAAGTTTCCAACTTGATTTTGCATCGATATTCGTTCCCAATCAAGATAATTTTTTATGACATACCAATTATAATTATTTTTCGATAAAACCTACAGAGGGTTTAACTATTCACCGTAGTTACGTATTTGCTTCTTTCTAAATTATTATTAGGTTTGAATCCTCTTGCTAATTTCAATTAATATTATGCCCTTTTATTTTGGACATTTAGATCAATTTAGGCAGACTCACACACACAATGCATACATAAGACTCGAAACTAGGACTTCCTAGTTGGTAGCCTAAGCTCTCAACTAACAGACCAAGATGAGTTGTGTTTATGATCCTTTGAAAGTTTTTTTTCTCATGTGAATCTATAGATATCTTCGACAAAAGAAGATAAAATATAAAGATTAATTAATGAATTTCTTCTTCTTGCCTAATTTCTAATTTCTTCTTTCTTTTGGGAGCTTGAGCAAACTCAAATTGCTCGGTTAGGATTGAGCCCCCCCCAATATATATTATTAGATCATCTTCAATCGAATTGTATCCACCATTTACTCCATTTGAACACTAAATCACATGCCAAAATTCGGTAGGTGAACAATGTGACATAAATATTGGCATCTTACTGTTCGCCTACACGAACTTTTTGTGTTACGGGATTTGCTAAAGAAGCGCACGAGGAGAAAGATGGTTACCTTCACAACGAGATGAAGAAGCACGTGAAGGAGAAAGAAAAGAAGTTCAATTGAAGATGAATTATTGCATTTTGGATTTTACTGCATTTTGAAGTAGAAAATGAGTTTTTTCGGTTAGAGATGCCATTACCGCAAGAGGAGTGTTGCATTGTGAACAAGAAACACCACAAATTTGCCCGGTCGGAGGTGAGGGATCCATAAGGAGAGGAGAATGAGTAGAAGGTAAGAAGAAGAAGAATAAGAAAGAAAAGTAAGGAAGTGAAAGAAGGATTTGAGAAGTATTAAGGAAGATGGGCTTATATACTATTTATAATAATGAATGGTTTGCGCAGGATACTGAGAAAAATAAAATACTTCCAATTTAGAATTGGAACTTAGATAATAAGGAAAATATTAATTTTTTGTAAAAAAGAACTTTAATAACATCATATTAATGAATTAATTAAATAT